GCAGAAGTGCGACGAAGGCAATGTCCCGTATAGGAAGATGGGTTTGGCAATCCTAAATACATTGCGATTTTGCTGGGAATTTTCCCAAACATGCTTTTTCCAATTAGCTGAGATGTACATTTATTTTGTCGGAAGCGCAAAAAAAATCGTTCAATACCTTTAGGACGCAATGACATATAAAGTCTTAATAAAGGCAAAGCAGAGAACTCTTTTTCATCCACAATTGTAAATTTCTTCGATACACCAGTTTTACTTTCCGGTACGTTCACTACCATAACGGAATCCCGGTCCTCTATATCCGATATTTTCATATTCAAAAGTTCCTGACTTCTGCATCCTCCAAAATAACCCATAATCAAAACAACCTAAAACAAAAACAGGAAATAAATACACACAAAAAGGAAAATAAGAAAAAAAATACCTTATGCAATAAATGAATTTCATTAGGAGCGTTCTTTAGAAATCTGATAACATCATTAGGAGATAAAACAGCAGACTTTTTCGGCTTATAACTCTTACTCTTCCGTTTCAAAAAAGCCTCTAGTTCATTGAACTTGGCGATATCTCGTTTCTCATGTATATTCACCTTCGATTTTAGCATTGACCATTTAGTTCATAAAGAATTCGGACAATACGTTTCTGACTGCAACGAATAAACAAAATTACTACCAAATCTACCGAAAAACATAGAATATTCCTTACCAATTCTTGAAAATATGCCAGTAATACAGTTTCAGTGGCATCTTTTGGCATAACATTATTCCGTGTCAGCCACTCCAGATATATCTTGTATTCTTTTTGTATACGGCTTCACTTTTCGATGGAATTAATGATTCTCTTGCTTTTTCAGCTTTCTTCAAAATCTGCTCCATTATATTTGGGGTAGAAAACACGTTTTTAACGCAAACACAGCTTGATAACAAAGTACTGTTTATAAGCAAGTAACAATTCTGTTTATAAACACGTAACATAGCAACAACCTAGCAACAACAAAACTCTTATAATCAATGGTACCTGATTCAAATATACTGGGAAGGTACATTTTTTCCGTTTTAAAAATAAACAATATTTTATTGAAATCGGTCAGAAATAAAATTATCTATGTACCACGGGAATTAATGAGCCTTAATAACCTCAGGCAATTGCTGTCCCTCGGGCGGGACGCCCTCGGGACGCAAACTTTGCCATCGGTAATTAAGGCCCTTATAATTCCCTAGGTACATAAATAACTATTTTTCTTTGGTTTTGTAGTTGGCAGAGCGATGAACAATATATTTCCCACATCTTCAATATCTCCAATTTTTATTTGAAGTAGGTAATTCTTCACATTGACACCCCCCAGATATAGTAAAAATCATGGCCACCTAAAATAATAGTAGTCAGTATTTTCGTTTATAAAAATATTTTGTTTATTACGCCAATGCAAGGATTTAAATAATTTTGACGGTTTATATGAAGGGACATTGACATTTTAATTTCTACGTCTTGCTCCCACACTGCCCAGGTGTAAAGTATTATATCATTTGCAAACATAGTAAATAATACACGAACAAATACAGGTATTTAAACAGAACGCGTACGTTATAACTAAACATAGACGAGGCCTCGTTGCGTCACTGCTATTTTTTCATTCATAAAAAATGTGAGGTAACTTTTTTCTTCGGTTGCTTAGATAATTAAATGTAATTATCTGTCGTTAGTATGAGTTGTTTGAAGAAGTCAGTATTGTACTGATGCAACAAACATAGGATTTAAATATAACTTTCCCATTATCTGTCATGGTATTTATCGGTAACGTATTTGAATTTTCTACCACCCCGTGAAAATACTAAAGGGTGACAATAATTTTGACAGAAAACACCGGCTTTTAATTAAAAATTGCAAATTTTTTAATGATTTATAAAGTATACCTACAATATGGAATAGCATATTGGGTAAATGGTAAATGTTGTAAGTGTAATGTAAGTAAATGATAAAAAGCAATTAAAATACGAATGCAGTGCAACGTTTTATCTATAATCACATCACACTCATATTTGTGGAGTTAAAATAATTAGAATTGAATAAAAAAATATTCGCACAACTTGATATTTCTTACTAGTACTCAACGAAACGTGGTAGGTTTTGTTATATCTACTGGTTGCTACGGTACGTTGTTTATTATCAATTATTTAATAAACAGTTCTATCTGAATTTGGTAAAAATGCAAGAAAGTAATTGTGTTCCTGTGGCTGTTTTTGAAGAAGCTCAAGAAGCAATTTTCCATTTACTGCCAGCGAAATCCAGGGAACAGTACGAAAAAGTGTTCGCCGAATTTAACGAATGGAGGGAAAAATGGAAAGTAATGACAATAAATGAAGAAGTCATGCTATCGTATTTTTTAAATATGAAGAAAAAATATGCAATTTCATCTAGTGGTCGAAGTATTCGATGTTGAAGGCTACTATAAAGGTCCACAAAAATATAGATATTGGAAAATATAACAAGCTTACTGCTTATTTGAAGAGTGAATCGAGAGGATACAAAGCAAAAAAGCTGCAGTATTGGTAAGAGCACATATTGAAGAATTTTTTACTGGGGCTTCAGATAAAGAATATTTAATGATTAAGGTATTATCTCTTTACCTTTTACATGTTGTGTATATAGCGAACTTTGAATTATTTTAGGTTGTACTAATAATGGGGGTTTCTGGTGCCTGTCGATGCTGCGAATTGACAAATTTAAATGAAAATTAGTGAACTACAGGACGTTGGCAGTTACCTACTTGTTTTAATACCAGACACCAAGACATGCATTTCAAGAAAATTTACAATTATAGAAGAAGGATTTTGCGTGAATGTTGTTGCAATATGCAGAAAATATATTTCTCTGCGCCCAATTCGCCTAACACAAGACAGATTCTTGTTAAGATACATCAATCAAAAATGTACTTCCCAGCCTGTTGGATTCGACACATTGGCGAAGGTACCCTCAATAGTTGTTTCATTCCTGAATATAGCAAATCCAGAAGCATATACTGGCCTTTGTATGAGGCGCACTTCAACAACTTTATTGGTCAATAAAGGTGGTGTTCTTACAACCATCAAACGGCATGGTAGATGGAAGAGCTCCTCTTAGCAGAAAGTTATGTTAGGGTGTTAAAAAAAGAGTGTAAAATATTTCAGGAGGTAATAGTATGAACCAAAATAAGCAGAAAAGTCTTAATAAACATGGGTCCGCAAAGTAACGGATGCGGAGATATGGACCACTATTCGTTTTTCAAACATTTTATTTTATTAGGAATAAACCGACAAAGGAAGCTTTTAACAAACAAAAAACAAAGTTACAGAAGATGTTCAAAGTGACCTCCGTCCATTTCCAAGCAGGCACGACATCTTCGTCTCAACGATATTCGAACTCTTTCGAAAACACCCTCCTTGGTTTGGATTTCTTAACACTTTTGATTCCAGGCTATTTACAGGAGTACCATACAAAGAAATCTAGAGGGTTCAGATCAGGCGATCTTGGAGGCCATAAAACAGGTCCGGCCCTTCCTACCCATCTATGTGGAAAAGTTTGGTGTAAATGCTCTCTAACGGCCATGGAAAAATGAGCTGGAGCACCATCATGCTGGAACCACATTTGTTGCCTCTGATTCAAAGGAATGTCTTCCATAAACTCATACAGTGTGTTCTGCAGAAAGTTGACGTAAGCAGCGCCTGTTAATGTCCAGATTCTATTAGAGCATGAGGATTTTCGTCGGCCCAAATATGCGTATTGTGAAAATTAAACACTCAATTTCTTGTGAACCCTGCCTCATCAGTAAAAAGAATGTTTGCAAGAAAACGAGGATCTTCAGCATCATGACGTAGAAACCAGCAGCAAAAAACCAAACGTGCTTGTTGATCATTTATTGGATTTAAGGCCTGTACTCGTTGCACATGGTATGGATAAAGCAGTTGCTCGTGAAGGATTCTCCAAACAAGAGGACCACTAATTCCTACCTCGGCTGATATTCTCCGCACACTCATACCTGGATTCTGCTCTACCAGTGCTAAAATTTCTTCTTCTGCTTTAGGAGTGGATACCGACCTTGGTCTTCCGGATAAATGGCACTGTTTGCTCAAGGAACCGGTATCACGCAATCTTTGGTGAATTCTTCCAAACATGCGTTGTGAAGGAATCTGGCGATTTGGATAAGCGTTAAAATAAAGACGTCGCGCTTCGGTGGCGTTCCCATTTGCACGACCATACATGAAATGCATGTCTGTTAATTCTGCGTTAGAGTAACCAGCCATAGCGCAAGAAAACTTGTGCACTGAGAACAACTGTCAAATACGTACTGTTTATTTCACTAAACATCAACCAACTATTATAAGAAAATACACAACGTTTTTGCAAAATAAAAAAAGGGCTAAAAAACATAAAACATTCCATATCTCCGCAACCGTTACTTTGCGGACCCATGTTTATTGAGACTTTTCTGCTTATTTTGGTTCATACTATTACCTCTTTAAATATTTTACACTCTTTTTTAAACACCCTGTATATCTAACAAACTTGATATTGCAAGGAAAATCCAAGGAAAATATAGCTGTTCCTTACAAGAAGAGACATCCGTAACTTGTGCAAATTCTTCACAAACTTCGGCAGATGTTGTGAGCTCCGAAAATGATGGCAACAATGCTACAAGGGTTGTTATTAACGGAAAGGAAGTTAAATGTGATAAAACGAAAAACGAAATGTCTATGACTATAAATGTAAATGTTAATGTTAATAAGTAAATAAATTAAGTTTGATTTATTATATTTTCATTATTCTACTATTGAAATAAAGTTATTTTATTCCACTAGTGGATAAAGTATCACTTTAGACGGTTCGATGTGTGGATAAAAGTCCGATTATAAGGTGATTGTGGATAAAATTGTTATTTTTTTCATTTTGACTCATTCAATAGACATTTCTCAACAATCCCGGATCCTGAACCGCCTGTTGTGTTTTGAGAAAACTTTTTGTTTCAGACAACCCAGTGCTAAGACACCACAGCGGCCATTTTAGACACAGGACGGCGGAAGTTTGGGACCCCCATCCTCAATACGAGATCGATGCTTTTGACAGGAAACTTCTTTTAGAACTAGAACATAACAGCAAATTCGTCGCGCCAGGATTACATGTAAGTAAATATGTATTTTTTTTGAGGTGGTAAATAGATTACGACACTTTTTCTACGGAATAGAGTAGATACGTGACTTCACTATTCACTGGAGAATAAACATCTAAGACGTATAACAAATATTTGTAATTATTATAAACTTTGGTATACATTTTTATCTCTTATGATTAATTTGAAATTTCAGTGGAAATATTATTAATATTATTTACCGGAAGCCAGAAATACTCATTAGATTTTATAGTGAATTATTTAATTCATAACATATACAGTGTGTAATTGAAATTAGAGTTTTACTTGCACTTGTAAGTATGAAAAAGACAGCAACTTAATACAACTTTTTTAATATAATATTTAAGATATTTGCATCTAAAAGAATTACATCATTTAAGGCAAATCTGTACAAGTTATACATATTGGCCTCAGTCTAGAAAGTGTTATGTTTTATAATTTACAAGAAGTTGTAGTTTTGCAAAATGTATCAGTGCTAAGTTTAACGATTTCAAATATGTTAAAACGCACTTAACTGAATTAAAGTAGTGATACTTGCTATAAAATGGTTGTCAATCTACTGCAGAGGCATCACGTCGTTATGCAAAACATTTTCTGATGAGGTTCGTGGAGATTTGATTATTTCTTACAAGTAGTCCATGACAATCAAGAGCAACTAGACCAGCTTCATTGGCGGAGAAAGACATTTTTTAAATTGTTGCCCATGATTCGACAAGAGTACGAAGTAAAATTGCATGCCACCAAATGTTCCTCGTTTGAACGTTTCTTGCAGTAGTGACAGAATTGTACAATTCAATTTTTAAATTCGAGAATGACGAAGAAACACTATTTTTGAAAACCCCACTTCGTACACACCCTGTATATTTGTTACATAAACGACTATTAAAGATTTAGAACGTAAAAAAATACATTTGAACCTTTCTATGGATCTCTTTCATTTTTTATTAACTTCCAACCTTATTTGCTTGATTAACAGCTGCTTAACATCAGTACAGTCAATTACTTCTTTATTTTAACCATCATTCTCGACCTGTCATCGTTAAAATATAGGTCGATTCCGCTCGCAGTCTCTTCTAATTAGTTGCGATTCACCTAAATTAACCTAAATTACGCGACATTTATCTTTGTAGATCATCAACCACATCTGGGACAATCACACGCAGAGGGTCAAACATGACCCCAAGATGTCGGGATGTTTCTACACTGGTCAAGTTCGGGGTGACCCCGGATCTAGTGTAGTAGTGTCTCTGTGCCACGGAATGGTGAGTTTTCTTTATTTTTTAAAATGTTTGTGCGACTAAGAAGCTTTAATTTCGTTATTTCACGAAAATTGTATTCATTCAGTAGAATAGTAATATGCCATACCTTCCTCCGCTAAATCCGCTAAAATTTTAGAAGTTTAAGATACTTCTTGTAGTTAAATAACACTCTGATATTATTATTGGCATGATAAAGACAAATGTCAGAAACAACCAACAAACCAAATAATAGATATTTTAAGCCTTAAAAGGCACGGTGGGTGGCGTTCGTCCTCTGTAGCTGAGAGATGTGTCAAAAACTCTGTGGAAAATATTTTATATCTTGATTTGAAAATATTGAAATATTTAAATACATTTTTTTATTCTACTTTCTTAATCACCGAATATTAAAAACGATGAATTAAAAAAAAAAGAGAACATTGTATTGCTCAGCTTATAGTACAGTCATTGAAGCTTTTCACCTCCGAATTCTTTGATCGACTTGAAATTTGACAGATAGTTAGAGAAAAGGTCAATGAACATTAGTGACATAGCGCCGATTGACGCTTCCATCCTGTTGGGGGTTGACACTCCTTTTCGGGGGTGGAATTTTTTTTCAAAAATAACTCTGGAAATCGATAGAGATTCAAATTTTGAGCAAAAAATATTCGAAGAATTTTTTCGAGAAATCAGTAGTTATTCACGATTGAAAACTTGATTAATAATTAATTAATTAATTAATTTTGAGTGAAAAAAAGAACACTCAAAGTATTTTTCGCGAATAACTTAAAAACTGCGCATTTTATTAAAAAAAGTGTAATGAACAAAAATGTAGCTTATAAATAAACAAAGAAAATCGTTTCTTTTTAAGTGTTGTACGTCCTATACAAAGCGAAATATGGTTAGAGGAAGGGGACTTGTTTTGGGGGAATACTCGAATCGATGTATTCAACGTCAAATAATGGAAAAAGGATTAATTTTACGTGTATAACGCTCCGGGAGTTTTTTGTAGTACTCAAAAATACCTTTAAAATGAGTACTTATAAAAGTAAATTAGAGCAAAATAGAAGGAGTTATCGTCTAAAACAGATGGGTTACTCATATTTTTTAAGGAAAAATGAATTAGAATTAAAATATTCTTTCATAATAGTATATTATTCAACGAGCGTATAATGATGGGTATTATTCACGAGGTGAAGTTTACGGCCACGAGCCGCAGGCGAGTGGCCTAAATCACCGAGTGAATAATACCCATTATACGGGAGTAGAATACTATACTTTATCCACGACTACTAAATATTTTTGTTGAAGTTTTTTTTGAAATGTTTCGAAAAACATGGTATGTTAAGAAACAGATATACGACTCGCACAAATGAAGTCGCTGATGGCTCAGTGTAGATGCTCTTTCCCTTCCAACCGCGGGTCCCGGGTTCGAATCCGGTCTAGGAAAATTCACTTTTTTAATTTTTTTTTTATGTACAGCACTGAATTGAAAATATTTAGTGGTTTACACGATAAAATTTTAAAAACGAATTGTTTGTAGCAGAACAATATAATATTATAGCTAAATTAAGGAAGCATCTGACAGTAGTGATTAATGACTCACAAATCACTGCCATGATTAATAGGTATTATTAAGGTCGAGCAAACAGACGTATAATGGGTACATTATACAATAGTCGTGGATAAACAATATAAGGGAATTTTTATTTCAACTTATTGCACAATTATAGCATTCCAAGATATAAAACGTAACTTTTTTATAATTTTTTTAGCACAGGGGTGATTTATAAGGGGTGAAAAGTGTTATGAGATACAAATTTTTTCATAAGCAATGAGGGAATTTTTATTTTAAATAATTGCACCGTTAGAGCATTTCAAGCTTTTAACAAGTAATTTTTTATCATTTTTGTCCACACAGGGGTGGTTTTTAGGGGTGGAAAGGGAAAAATTCTCTTATTAGCTATAAGGTAACTTTTATTTTAAATAATTGCACGATTTAATCATTCCAAATCTTTAAAAAGTAATTTTGTATTATTATTTTTTGCATAGGGGTAGTTTTTAAGGGTTAAATAAATTGCCGAAAAGATCAAATATATTATAAAACATGTTCGAGAACACGGAACATTATTTAATCTTTGTGCTTGAACAAGATTTTTCTCAATAAAATGTTTAAAACTTATTTTTTTCAATTTTTTCACTTAGGGGTAGTTTTTGCCCCTAAAAAACAAAAAGCGTCAATCATGCTTATGTCACTTTTGAACTTGAGCCTAAGATGAGCCTTATTCTAAATTTTCATGCAAATCCATGCAGTTTCAAAGTATTAAAAAGTAAGGTTACAGCTGATTTTCAGCTTCAATTACTGTTCAAGTTCAAATTTAATCCCATGATACATTTTTTTAGGCAGTATTCCGCGAAATTTAAATTTAAATTTGCGCCACGCTACCTATGATGCAATAGTCAACATGTGCAGTAATAAGGAACTATTGAAAAATATAAATACGTTTCTAATAATATTCTTGGCAGCTATTATATTTACATGCATACATTTTCTGTCCAAGCACTTTTTCAATATTATCGTTAAGTAAATTTTAATATTAGAAATGTAAATTAAATGTAATGACCACCCTCATGCTGAAATATTTAAATTAGTCCTAATTGGTGGCACTGCCAATGCGTTAATACCAATAAAATGATAATTAATCCTTATTCAGAAGTTACGGTGTTATAAAGCGATGAAAGTGATATATTAAGTAGCCAGCGGCCTTAATATGGTCCTCGGTAGTTGCAGAAGAAAGACGTATACGCACGTTCCATTAGAATATCTGCTGAGAGAATGTTACGTTCTTGTATGTACGCCACAGTAAAAATTAAGACATGGAAGTCACAGTAAAGCAAAGCGAGATCTTGGAAAATATCGAATTTTGACTTCAAACATAAAATTTCGAATTAAAATATGAAGTGAATTGCAAAAATTCAAATTCAAACACGAAATTATGGTTTCGTTGCAAAATTTCTAACATCCAGACAAGAAATTACCAAAAAATTTATAATTAGAACATGGAATGCTGAATTGAAACATAAAATATCGAGTTCAAACACACTTTTAAACACATAATTTCAATATCAAACACATAAATTCGAGTTCAGAGTTTCAAAGGTGATTTCAAAATTTCGTTAAATCTAACTTGGAATTGAAAATTACATGAATTTGAACGAGTATTTTGTTTTTACTTCTACGAAAATGAAATTTGGACTATAAACACAAAATTTCAAATACAAACACGAATTCAGACACAAAATTTCGACTTCACAGCAATATTTGAAGTTAAGCCAGAAATTCTGACACAAAATATGGAATTTGAGCATGACAAGATCGAATTCAGACATAAAATTTTTATTTCAGCGCAAAATTTAGTGTTATATAAAATTAAATGAAAATTTTAGTGTAAAGAATACTGTTAATTTTTCCGCTTATATTTCTGTATCAAATATGAACTTTCGAATTCAGACATACGTTATCGAATTTAGGTACTGAATTTCAAATTAACGTCACGTATATTCTGGTTCCAGTATAAATCAAACAAAATATAAAGTTCGACCACAAAATATCCAATTCAGTCGATTTAAAATATAAAATTTCAGGTTCAAATTATCGAATTCAGACACAAAATTTCAACCTCATGGCAATATCAGAAGTTAAGAAATCAAAAACAACATTTAAAGCCTGAGTTCGAAAGCATGAGTATATCGAATTCACACAAAATTTTTATTCCAGGGCAAAATTTCATATTATTATATTAATTTAAAAAAATTACTATAATTTCTTATAATTTTTCTATTTATTATTATACTAATCATATATGGAATTTCGAATTCAGATATACAGAATTTCAACCTAACATCACGTATATTTCTACTTCGTGCATAAATCAAATAAAATATAAGTTTCAAACACAAAATGTCCAATTCAGTTGAGGTTCAGGTTCAAATTATCGAACTCAGACACAAAATTTCAACTTCGTAGCAATATTTTAAGTTAAAATAAAAAACCATAAAAAAATGTTAAGCTTGAACTCGAAATATGGAACTCTGACATAAAATATAGAACACGTGCATGAGTATATCGAATTCAGACACAAAATTTTTCAGCACAGAATTTCGTGGTCTTATATAAATTAAAAAGCAAATTTTACTTCAAACAAAAGGTTCTATTAATTTTTCTATTTACTATACTATATCAATACGGAATTTCGAATTCAGACATATGATATCGAATTTAGGTATAGAATTTCAACTTAACTTCAAGTATATTTCTAGTTCGAGCATAAATCAAATAGAATATAAATTTCGAATACAAAATATCCAGTTCAGTCGAGGTTCAGGTTCAAATAATCGAATTCAGACATAACATTTCGACTTCGTAGCAATATTGGAAGTTAAGATAAGAAACCAAAAAAAAAATCAAGCCTGAACTCGAAATATGGAACTCTGACACAAAATATGGAAAGCGAGCATATTATCAAAGAAAATTTTACTTCGAACAAGAAGTTCTATTAATTTTTCTATTTACTATACTATATCAATAAGGAATTTCGAACTCAAACATATAGCATTGATTATCGAATTTAGGTACATTTTCAACTTAATTACATACATATTTCCAGTTCAAGCATAAACCAAACAAAAATATTACAAAATATTAAAACGAAACTTGAACTGAATTTTCCGACTTTTGAGTTCAAATGTAAAATTTCGTGTTCAAATACAAATATCATGTTCGAACACGAAAATATCGAATTCAGATAAGAATAGTTGAGTGCAGACATGAAATCTCAACCAATACTTTGAGATCAGTTACAAAATTTCAACTTTGAACATTAAATTTTCTATTTATATAGGAAATGAAATATAGTAAATTTCCACTGAATTTAAAGACATTTTTATTTGAAGATGAAGAGTTCAAATACAGCGTTTCAGCCCAGGACAAAATTTTGCAATCACATAAAATTTGATTTCGAACA